TCCAATAGCTCCATTTCTTTCCTGAGCTGGAGACCCCAGACCTGGATGCAGTACTCCAGATGGGGCTTAAATAGCTTAAATAAACGTTTTATAGGAGATATAAAGCCTTGCTTGCATTGAGATCAAAAATCACTTCAGAAGGTGTATTGTTGTCTTTGTTCTGACAGACACAAAGCTTCCCCCTTCCCTTTCTCCTGTTCAGTATCTGAGCAGTCGCGGAGGGAGCCGGTAGCTCCCACTCTTTCACCTCTTCTCCGGCCAAGCTAAACAAACACGTGGCCACCCATTGCCCCACTTGCGTACAGAGGGGACATCGATCTCAGCTTGGCACAGCGCGTGGAAGAACCGAAGCTTCAGGTCAGGGCACTTCCAGCGCAAATACGAGTGCCGGGGCACCGACTGCACGCTCCCAAACCGACAACTCCGGGGCTGAACCCTCCCCGCCGTTTCTCAGAGGCCTCCTGCCATCCTCCACGCCGACAGCGGGGCGGTGGCGGTGCTCCATCCCTCGGGCTGCCGGCCGGGAGGCGGCGCGGCGGGCCGGAGGCGGCGCCTTATAGGGCGGGCGCGGCGGGAACGGCGGCAGAGCCGGGCCGCTACCCTGGACAGCGCCTCGCAGCCGCGGCGCCATGGTGAGTGCGGGAGGCCGCGAAATGGCGGCTCCGGGACACGAGGGGAGCCCGGAGCGCAGGCTGAGCCCTGGCCGCGGGGAGGGAGCGGGCAGCCAGCGCTGCAAGGCGGGGAGCGGGGAAGGCAGCTGGAGGAGCGGGGTGCTGGGCGGTGCGCAGTCCCCTTGGAAGCGTGCGGGGCTGCTCTGGTAGTGCACCCCGTTATCTCCCTGCCTGCAAGCAGGTACGTTTTTCTCTATTTCGAGTCGCGTTTGAGCAGCTTACATAAAGAGATTACTGCCGGTGGCATGATAATCGAAGCGCCCGCGCTAGCCATACCGTGGCACACTTTGTTTTTTTCCACGTAGTGAATGAACAATGGAGTTTTAGGTTCCAGTCTGACGTTTAGGAGAGTTGAAGTGGAGCAGTGCAGCCATCTGTTTAGCAAGTAGGAGCCTCTCCGCAGAGCGCATCCTGCCGTGCCGTCATGGTAACTTCCCGGAGGAACTCATCCCGTTTGCAAACGGCGAGGCACGAAGGGTAGCACTGACCTGATGCAGTAGAAGAGCACCGTGTGGGTGTTCTGCTCTCCGAGGCGTAACGGGGCTGAATACCC